TGTCTCGACGGGCACTGAGAACCAACCACACCAAACAATATCACCTGGGTGCTGTGGCAATGTATGAACTCATGTGTGTCTATGTATGAAGCAAGAACGCACTGCCAAGCGGCAGATCAAATCAAAATAAAGCCGGCAAAACACGTGGACATACCGCCGTGTCGACGCTTGAACAAGCACAGACAGTGACGCCACGAAACACAGTGGCCAAATCAACAACAACGGAAGAACACAGAACACAACAGAACTGCACACCGCACACCAATGCGTGCGAGTAACACTTCTTGATACGGCTACGGGCATTACCAAAACACCAAACCAACAAGAGTAATCCACATACGCACATCCTCTCTCCCTGCTGTGTGTGTGTGTGTCTCTCTCACTCACTCACTCACTCACACACTCACACACAACCACACACACACACACACACACCAACACACACACATACGCGCACACACATACACACACACAACCACACACACACACACATTACACGTCAACGCTTTCTGATTCTTGGATGGAGATGGTGACGCTGTTTCCATCACCTCGCGTTCCCGTCCCCTCGTCCACTTCATCGTCATCGCTGCCCTCCATGATGGCGCTGTATCTGCGGTTGTTGGGCGAGGCCTCTGCATCCACCGCCGCCAGCGCGTAGTACGACGAGCGCTTCTTCCTCGGCCGCGACGCGTCACCATCATGGTCATCGTGGTCATCACCAGGGGAAGGGGACATTGCCGACAATGGCGACGACGACGACGGTGGTGGTGGTGCTGGGTTGCGTGGGGTGGTGGAGATGCGACGGCTGCCAAAGCTGTCACGTGACAGGGCTTCAAACTCCTTTGCATCGTTGAGCCACGACACGGAGCTCAGGGACACGCGCGCCGATGCGCGGCCCTCGTGCGTTCCTGCCGACTGCCGCCCAATGGACGACGCACGCTTCTTCTTGAACACAAACCCGCCCCCAATGCTGTCCTTTGGCTGCGCGCTGTTCCTGTGGCCGTCGGCGTCATCACCGCTGTGCTCTTGATCGTGGCAATCACCATCATCGATGTCGCAGCTGCTTGCATCGTCACCCTCGCCCATGTCAATGACGGTGGCCTCGTTCTCCGCAATGGCAACACGCCCCGTCTGCTCAGGCTTCTTCGTGCTCACCAGCCAGTATGTCAGCATCTCGCCCTTGCCCTTGATGTTCTGCACCCCGCGCGACTCAAGCTTCACCCACGGCGCCTGGCTCCGCACGCGGTCCCCCGCAGACGTCGACACGTGGATTTTGTTGCGCTCGCTCGAGCTCTCCATGCGCGACGCCGTGTTCACCGTGTCCCCAAACAGGCAGTACCGCGGGTTGCGCCGCCCAACAACGTTGGCCACAACAGGGCCGCAGTGGAACCCAACGCGGATGTTCACGCACCCGAGCTCCGGCCGCTCCATGTCAATGAACGTCGACTGCGCCGCCTTGATGGCGTCCTCCGCAAACTGCGCAATGCGGAGCGCGTGGTCGTGCTGCGGCTTGACAAGGTTTGTTGCCGCCATGTACGCGTCGCCAATGGTCTCCACCTTGAACACGCCGTGCTTCTCCGTCAGCTCGTCAAAGATGCAGTACAGCCGGTCGAGCATGTCCGACACCGCCGCCGGCGTCAGCTGCGCGCTGATGTTGTGAGCCCACATGTCGGAGAGGAGATGGTCACGTCGTCTTGTGCTCCGGGTGCACTTCTTGCCCTCTCAGCATCTGCAATGTATCTTGGCAATGTGCTCTGGGAACACGTCGTTGAGCACCGTGGCCTTGTTGAGTGCGTCCTGCTTCTGCTGAATGAGGCTTGCGCCCACCTTGCTGATGTTCAGCTCGCCCAGCTGCGCGTCCACCTGGTCGAACGTTGGCCGGAACTTGGGCTCCTCGGACCAGCACCGCCGCGCAAGCTCAGCCAGCATGACGGGGCACGAGTCTGGGATGTCGGGTCGCTTTGCCGGCACCTGGCGTGCGGCAATCTGACGCAGCACCTCCGACGCGTCCTCATCTGGGAACGGGTCCTGCCGGCTGTAGATCTCGTACACCGTGATGGCGAAGCTGTACACGTCCGCCTCCCGTGTCACCTCTCCTCCGCGCAGCACCTCTGCATGGTTGTGATGATTGGTTGGTGAGGGGTGGTTGTGTTGGCGATGATTGTGAGTGGCAATTGTGAGTGGTTGTGGTTGGAAGGTATGGTGTATGTGTTGAGGTAGGGGGAAAAGAACGCAACTGTGTCACACACACCCGAATACATATGCACGTGCTTGCATGCATGCACATCACACGCACACACACACACACACACACACACACGCACACATCACACAGGCACAGGCAAACACACACACACACACACACACACACACACACACACACACACACCTGGCGCCATCCACATTGGTGTGCCACAGCCAAAGCGTTGCTTCTGGGAGAGACCAAAGTCGGAGATCTTGGCCTTGAAGTTGCCATCCACAAGCACGTTCTTCGCCTTGAGATCGCCGTGCACAACTGCTGGCTTGAGGTTGTGGATGTAGCGCATGCCAGACACAATGTCCTTGACAATGGGCAGCAGGAACATGTCTGGTGTCGGCAGCTTGTCGTTGCGCAGGAAGTCATACAGCGACCTGTCGTTGGTTGGAGCAGCGTTTGAGCAGTGATGGGTTGTGACAACCGATTGTGAGCGATGAGAAGGGCTCTGCCAGTTTGCTTGCAAGCATCCCCAAGCAGCACGCGACACACACGCACACACACACACAGACACAGATAGACAGGTAGAAAGAGAGAGAGAGACACACACACACGCACACGCACACATACACACACACACACGCACACACACACACACAAACACAGATAGACAGGCAGAAAGACAGACACACACACACACACACACACACACACACACACACACACACACACACACACACACACACACACACACACGCACACGCACACAACTAACCCGTGCTCGAGGTATTCCATGACGAGGAGAACTTCGCTTGACTTTGTGACGATGGCGCCGAGCATGGTGGCGACGCACGGGTGACGCAGGCGCGACAGCAGGCGAATCTCCGCCATGAACTCAGACCTGCGAAACAAGAACATGCAACAAATGGGTTGATGAGTAGCAGCCAGGTGATGCTTTCTCACCTCCAGCGCACCAACACACAAAGATGCACACACAAACATAAACACACACACACTGACAAAATCAGCCATCGCACGCACTTGGCGTTGGAGATCTCCTTGCCGTGGCCGGTGCGGGCTGTTGTTGCCTTGTTTGCTTCCGCATCCTGCCACTCCAGCGCCCGCTCAATCGCTGCCTCATTGTCGACGTTGCCAAACTCCATGCCAAAGCCATTGGTTGTCTTGGATGCTTGGATGGTGCTGGTCGCGTTCATCGAGTACACGTCGACGTTGCTGCTGTCAACGGTGCTGGCACTCTTGGCACTGCGCTTGCTGCTGGCGATCCTGCCCCTCGTGCGAGTGCTGCGTCCATTCGTGTCTGTCGTCTTCTTGGATGATCGTGGCATGACGCGCTTGATGGCGATGCCGGTGCCGTTCAGCTCCCCCTTGATCACAACACCAAACGCGCCCATCCCAAGCACCTCGGGCGGGTCGCTCACAACAACGTCTGCCGCGTCAATCTGCCACAGCTTGTCTGCGTTTCGTCGCACCACCGCAATGGCAATGTACACGCCGATGCCAATCACAGCCAGGGCGCTGCCGATGAAGATGGGCAAGTACTCCTTTGCCTGCATGCATTTCCCGCTCAGGTGGAGCGTGCCCACAGGGCATTCGCACGTGTTGTCCTGCGTTGCCTCCATTCCATCTGGGCAGTCGCGTGGCGAGACCTGAAGCAGGAAGGGGCTTCCATCAATGGGCTGCCACTCCGAAAACTCCGTGTTGCGATCGGCAAGGTAGACCTGGGGGTGTTGATGAGTTGGGGCGGGGGGTGGCGAACGAGGCACGGGTAAGAAGTGCAAGGTGAGTTTGAGTTAGCGCTACATTTTCCTTTGCAGTGTGTGTGTGTAAATGTGTGTGAATGTTTGTGTGTCACGGTAGCATGCAAACTTGGGCGTGCATATGCTGGTTTGATGAGGTGTTCACGCACTCACATCATCCTTCACGTACCTCCACGACTGCGGTGCCGTAATGTGTTTCAGTGACGTTGACTGTAGCGAGGTTGGGCGCGTGCGCCAAGGGTACTGCCTCCATGCTCGCGAAGCCCTCGGCATCAGCCCAGAAGAGGCTGACAAAGTAGAACAGAGTGTCCTTGTTGCCTCGCTCAGAGTACAGCTGGTCCTCAAGCACGAAGTGGAGCGTCTGCGCCTGCTGTCCAAACGCACACACGCGCATTCGATCGCACGACGTCAGCAGGATGTCGTGAACCGCAGGGTCATCCTGTTCCACCAGCTCATCCGTCAATTGAAACGGAGTGGCGTGTGCCTGCAAGCAAGCAACGTCATGTCACAGGGAGAGATTTGAATTGTATGTGAGCGGCTGAGGAAAGCGATGTGGAATGACGCGTGGTTTGTGCGTATCCAAATTGCCTGATCAGTGATGTGCCGCAAACGAAAATAAAACAAATGCACTGCACACACCATACACATAAGCACACACACATACACACATACACATACACACACACAAACGAACCAAGATTGGCGCGGACTTCTGGCATGGACGGCAGAGGCAGCGCGTTTGCTCGGGGCACGAGCGGCCGGCACAGCGGGTGGCGAGCACAGCGTGGTTGTAGATGAAGTGCGTGTTTGGGCAGATGATTTGGGAGGCAGAGAGTTCATCCTCATGGTCGTCATGACCTTGCTCGCCACCTGCAGCAGCCAACACGACTGTGCCCGGTTCATAAGATGGCTGTTCATGTTCTTCTTCTTCGCCCTCGTGCCCATCACCGTCCACCTCCACCGCTGGCGTCTCTTCCTCGTGGTCTTCTTCCTCTTGAACAACAATGTGCGACATCTTGCGGACGCAGCGGGTCTCTGTCGTGCGCACAAGATCGCGCTCAATCACGCCAAAGTTCTCCTGTGTTGGTGGTTGTGATCATGTTGGAGCGAATGTGAGAGGTGGGGAATGAGTAAGTGACAGCATTGGAATTAGGATGCGCGGGTGATGTGCGTGCATGCCGCAGCCAAGCAAGCACTGTCATATGTGTGCGCACTGGAAGCATGCAGCAACATGCGGACCACACAAACCCCACGCCACAACTCAATTCGCTCACCAGGATATCGCCGACGCCGGCAAAGCTCTCGGGCGACGTGAAGGCGATGGTGGTGCTGGGGACGGCGAGGACAAAGTTGAGCACATCGGTGCGCGCCTGCAGCGATGAGAAGCTGGTGGCAACAACGGTCCAGCCTGGGTAGATGGGGGTTGAGCTGAAGTAGGGGAAGCGCGTGCCGTCTTCGGTGATGGCAATCTCCTGGGCGAGGATGTCGATGTCTTCCCAGTTGAGCAGCCCGTCATGGGCGGCTTGCTCGAGGAAACCGGTTTGCACCATGCCGGCAGCAGCATCGCCAGACAGCACGGCATCAAGCACGCGGTCGTGTGTGCCCATGAACTGAACCTGTGTGTTTGAGTTGGGGCAGATGTTGCAGTATGGTGCGGTGTTGGTGTGAGACAGGAAGTGAGACAGGAGACAAGCCAGTAGGCCAATGTGCACAGGATTGCACCACACATAAACACACACATCAACACACACATCACACACACACACACACACAGACACACACACACAGACACACACACACACACACACACACACACGCACATGAACCGCACCTCGGCTGCGTCGTCGATGAGGTCAGTGCCAATCTTGCTGCGGTACTTGGCAAAGTTGGCGTGCGTGCTCGCAAAGTCCGTGATGGTGGTGCCGGCGATGACCTGGTCCTTGAGGTCAGACAGTGAGACAATACGGGAGTCGCGCGTGGTGAACATCACACCGCCAACGGTGTCTACAAACTTGACCTCGTCTCCTGAGTCGCCAGCGGCTGTGTAACGCAGTGAAGGTATTGCAAAAGGGGTGGAGAGTGGTAAGTTGGTCACCTTCGCGAGAAATCAAGCTGTTCGTTAGGTTGAGCAGTTTCTCAAGCGGTTGACGACGTGACAGAGAGGCAAACACGTGACACTCGCTCAGAGAGGCAAACGCAGACACACACAGACACAGACACACACACACACACAGACACACACAGACAGACAGACAGACAGACACAGACAGACACACAGGCACAGGCACACACACACACACCTGTGACGACGGGGAGGCCAAAGCCGTTGAGAGGGGCGAATCCTTGTTCGACGTCGAGGCAGGACATGGTCTTGGTGTCGACGAGTGCATACTCCAGGGTGTCGACCTGATCCAGCAGCTCCAGTTCCGACATGCGGTGAAAGGCAAAGAGGCCGGGGATAACAGCGTTCAGGAAGTTCTCGTAGGCATCACATGCCTCTGGTGACACGGAAAATGCAAGCAAGTGTGCGTGTGTGGTGATGTGACAACGCCCAAGTCGTGGAGTTGCGAGTTCGCGAACAAGCAAGTGGAAGTGACGCAGCGAAAGCGACACGCTGCAGGGGTGGCAAGGAAACCAACAAGCAAGCGAGAACACCGATGTGTTCGCACGTACACCTTTGCACGCGCACAGCCACGCACAAACACATGGAACCCACCTGGGTGAAGTGGGGAGAGGACGCAACCGATTTGGATGCGGTACGCGGCAGGGACCGCTGTGCCGTTCTGTTGTGCCGTGACCGGTGAGGCCGCAGTGAGGGCCGTGGCGAGCACGATCATCAGGAAGTGCAGCATGGATGCGGTGGATGTGTGTGCCATCATGTTTTGCCCGCTCTTCTTCTTGTGGAAGAGGTTGTCGTTGGCAAGAGTTGCTTGGTTGCTGTTGCCGGTATTGGGTAACTGTGGGTGATTGTCCTCGCTGTGTGAGTGTGTGCTGGAGTGTGACTTCCGATGGTTGTCGAGGTGGTTGGAAAAATGTCAAAGCGCCAACCACCCACCAACCATCATCATCTCCCATCTCCCTGCTCTGCTGCAGCTGGCAGCCACACAACCACACCCACATCCTACACGTCGCCATGACTTTCGTTCCAGCCACTGGACACGCAGCAAGGAGACAACAAAGGGAAAAACACCTTTTCCATGCGAAAAAGTTGTTGTCAGGGTTGGTTGAGCTTGGGGGTTGTCAGGGTTGGCGCTTTGGCCCACTGCAACACGTCTTAACATGTGTTCGTTCCCTGCGTTGCCTTGATGGCAGGATGGCAAGGGGGCGGGCAAGGGAAGGTCCGTCAGTGGACGATGAGCGAGAAGGTGGAGTGGAAGAGTACATGTGCATGGGTTGCCAGAAACGCAACAACTTTCACTCAACCACGTTTTGTTTGCGAAGCGTTTTGGTCAGGGTCGTGCGTTTTTGGTTCTGCAAAAAACTGAATTCAGGACGGTGCCGAACAGTGCTGCTTGCTTCTTGCTTGCAAGCAAAAGCACAGACAGCAAACAAGCTGTTGTGCTGCAGAAGACAACCACGACGACAATGGTGGTGAGTGATGTGAGTGGCGGGCTCTGCGCCTCTTCTGTTGTTGCAGGCAGCCAGCTAGAGATGCACTGCAGGCATAAGGGGTTGCGTGCGTCTCTCTCTCTGTGCTTTGTGTTGGCTCTGTCTTGCTCTTGAAAGATGACAACAGCAGGCGTGTGTGTCGCTGCGATTGTGCGTGGAGGAACCCAGACAGAAAGACAGCCTGCTTGCGTGCGGGCACGCTTCTCCACACACTCACACTCAAAATCACACACACAAACATGCACACACACACACACACACAAACATGCACACACAAACACACACGCACACGCTCTCATTGAAAACAACAGGGAAGAGGCATGACAGTGGATGTGCACGGCGCTCGTCGTCTCTCACACACCTGTGTCGACTGACTGATGCGATGCACGTGTCACTGGCACTCTACTGCCTACACCCAAACCAGCATCACCCTGGTGCCGCCACCACTGCCTTCAAGTAAGTTCATGGCGTTTGGAATAAATGCGGCTTGTGCTTAGGTGTTGCAACATGGGAGTGGAGTCAGGGGTAACAGTGAGGGAGGAGAAATGGCTCGTTGAGCGCAAATGGAAGAGAAAGCATGTCGTTGTGCTTCTGGTGGTGATGCGAGGTGGTTTAAACACAAGTGTGTGTGTGACACAGAAAGGGGTTGATATGTTCTCACATCCAATTATATGCGTGACATACACATTTTCGATCGTGCCATGGCGCCAAGGCGCGACACTTGTCTCCTGACCGAGCTGCCCGCCAGGCAGATGGCTCAAGTGGCGACACTCCTGCAGTGATCGCAGGTATGATAACGGACACCACCACATGTTGCATGCAGAATGGACTGGAGGTGAGTTTTGTGTGTTGTGTCAGTGTTTCTGGTGGTGAGTGAAGGTAGCCGGGCAAATACGCTGAGAGCATGGACACAGCGTGTGTTCGTTGTGAGATTTTGTCTGTTGGCGCGCTTGCTTGCATACTGATTCACCGACCACACATTCGCACACCACAGACACAAACGCGCTCGACAATGGAAACAGTGGGCACGCTTGCTGCGCTTGCACCCTCGAACACGCAAGGCTGCAATCGGAGCACACAGAAACAAGGAGGCTTACTCGGCTGAACTGCACTGAAGAAGTGAAGGTCTCTCTTTCGTGGCTCTGGCTCTGACTTCTCGTCTTTCTCCCTGACGAACCACGCATCAGCTCAGTGACTGCCTTGGCAGATGTGCACACTCGCTGTGAGCACTCCACAGGCCTGCAACCAACCACAGGTACACGCACTGTGCTCTTTGGCGTGGGATAGCTCTTGCTAGTTCAGGGAGCACCGCTTTCACATTGGAGAGAATCGACCACGCAGTTCACAAGATTTCGTTCTTTGAGCACACACACACACACACACACACACACACACACACACACACACACACACACACACACACACACACACACACAAGCTCCGGTGCGTGCGCATGTGTTGGGCTGTGCTTGGTTGATCATGGGCCGATCGTGCGTTTGCACGAAACACATACAACCACGATTGCTCACTCTCGTCTTCATTGACACGCCACACAAACGTTCACACTTTGCGGTTGCCGTTTGGGTTTGTCAGTTCCAAGTGGCATGACTCCATGCAAGCCAGAAGAACGACAGAGGCGGCTGCAGCCATGCCAACGTCTGCCCTCGTGTGGTTATGACACTCGTGCTGGTTGCTGAGGCTGCCACACAATCCATCCAACCCACGCACATGAGGTAGTGTGTAGGTGAGAGAGTGTGTGTGTGCGCGCGCGTGTGTGTTTGTGTGTGTGCGCGCGTGGTGTGTGTTTGTGAGTGGTGCCCCTTCGAGGGCAAGTCCCCTGCACTTCGAACAGCGTGCGGGGGTGCTTGCGTGTTCATGCCAGTGCTCTACGTTGTCTTTCACACGCACACCGTCTTGCGTGCGTGTGTTGTGTGTTGGACTCCGCCAACCTCCTGCAACGTGCACCTGACCCTCACAATGCCAACATGCGCGCGCGTACATGCATACACACACGCATACTCGGGCAGACGGATGCTGGGTGAATACCTCTCTCTGTCCACATCGCAACGTCGCAGCACGCGAGCAGCGATTTCATTCCACGGTCCGTTCCACAGGCAATGCGTGTGTGTGTGTGTGTTTGTGTGTGTGTGTGTGTGTGTGTGTGTGCGTGTGCGTGTGTGTTTGTGTGTGCGTGTGTGTGTGTGTGTCCTCTCACGCTTTCCCTTGGTGTGCTTTGCTGCTGCAGAATCAAGACAGATGCCACCGTGTTGTGCACGAGGACAGCAAAGATTCAACAAGAAGCATGGCGTGCTGAAGCAGCAACAGCAACAGCATACACGGAAGGGGAGATCAAATGCATCATTCACTCCAACAACAACGAACGGCAACAGACAACAGCAACAACAGACAGTGATGACGGTCGCAGCCTCTGAATGAACGACAACAACACACACGACAGGAAAGGAGGAGACGAAGAAGCTGAAGACCATCGACGCAGAGAGGCCGAGACAAGCACAAACACCAACACATAACGAGGACAGCAGCGGGGAATCAAACCACAATCCGCCCGTTCCCTTTGACAGCTGGCCTGGCCTGATGCAAGCACGCGTCCACGCGTCCCTTCTTCTTCATCGTCACCATCGTCACCATTCGCCATCCTGAGCAGCGCCACTGCCACTGCCGCCGTCTCCGCCGCTGTTGTCAGCGCGGCGTGGTGGCGGTGGTGGTGGTGGAGGAGGAGGAGGACTAGCCAACATCATGTGCTGCGCGGGAAAGACGTGTTGCTCACCGGCCGCGTTGCGCCGCACGTGTGGATGTGTGCGCACCATCTCGCCCTGCACGCGCTGCTGCTGCCACTCGCCCAGCGGTGGATGAGCGATGTGCCCCTGCAGCAGCGGCAGACGGAGTCCCACCACGTGCTGGCCACCATCCACAACCTGGTGGTGGAAATGATAGTGGTCGTGATGGTGGTACTGGTGGCAGTAGTGGCAGAAGCCGTGCGTTGCTGGCTGCTGCTGCTGCTGCTGCTGTTGAGCGCGCTGCTGTGGGAACGACTGGTACATCTGTAGCGGCTGCACCGTCGGCGCCAATGGCATCATCGTCGTCATCATCATCATCTGCTCATAAACGGGAGCGAGCCCCGGATAACCAGGCGGTGATGTCGCGCCATGGTACTGCTGCTGAAATGGCAGTGATGTACGGACCCCTTGTGGCACGTGCTGTTGCTGCTGTGGGTCGTGGGCGCGTGTACCAGCAGCTGCTGTCACCATGGGTGCATGCGGTGGCGTTGCTGCTGCTGTTGGCTGCGAGCGACGATGGCGCTGTTGGTGTTGGTGTTGGCGACTGCGCTCCCGCTCAAGAAGATTGAGGGCCAGCCAGTATTGAGGAAGGTGGCAGTGGTGGCGGCGGCGGCGCATGCGGCGATGAACCGATTGAAGACCGCGCATACGCGCAGCACTCGTCTGCTGGGTTTGCATCCACGCCCGCTGCACAGGGTGCGTACACGACACAGGGTGGGTGTGAGGAATTGTGTGTGTGTGTGTGTGTGTGTGTGCGTTAGTGGTGACGAAGAAGCGATGGTGCAAGGGGTTGTAGACGTGCCCATGATTCACTGTCGCACACACGCACACGCGCGCTCACACACACACACACACACACACACACACACACACACACACACACACACACACACACACACGCTCACACGTGCTTCCACGACATGCATACACATGCGCACTCATGCACACACACACACACGCATTGCGCTGCAGGCACTCACGATGCTGTAGAAGGTTGGGATGGCGTCATCCATGACTGTGCGATTGTCGCTACTGCTGCTGTGCACAGTGAATCGCTGTGGCACAAGGTTGGTTGTTTACGTGAGCGCGTGTGCGTGTGCGCGTTTGTGCGTGCGCGTGTGAGTGTCACTGGGTGGGACCTTGGTTGTGCCTGTGCACTCCTTCATGTTTGCACAGCCACCCACACATACACGCAACCGCGCAAGCGCTCACACCAACCTGAAACACAATCGCACCGGTGCACACAACCACACTACTTTCTCCCTTGCCTCCCTTCATCCCCCAACCTACTCGGCTTCTTCTCTCGTGCTGGTGTGCGCTGCTGTTGTGGGCGAAGATGGCTTGCGTGAATTTTGGCGGCTGTTGGCAGATTCACTTTCGTATGTGCGCAACCACACGACACATTTTGTTGTTGTTTAATTCGATGCCAGGTAAATGATTCAAATTGTGATGTCAGAGGCGATTGATGCAAGCTGTTCGTGAGCCGTTGCGGGCATTGCATGAAGCAGTGCGCACCACTGTGTGTGTGTGTGTGTATGTGTGTGTGTGTGTGTGTATGTGTGTGTGTGTGTGTGTGTGTGTGCATGGTCCTCACTCACAACCTCTCACCCGTATGTGTGTATGCGTGTGCGTGTGCATGTGTCCGCCGACAGGGAACATGACGTGCAGAGGAACATGGACAGGTGGGATTTGAAGGCTTGGATTGCAGCAAGCCCGACCACCCGCAATGAGGCAGCCGCACCAGCAGCGACCAGAGACAACAGAAAACATCAACAATCAAGGTGCAAAGGACACAAACGGCAATGGTTTGGGGGAATGCAACACACCATCCGCGAACACCACGACCAGTGGCACCACGACCATGACAGCGACAGCATGATGACAGCGACAGCATGATGACAGCGACCGACAACACCAACTGCACTGACTGCAAATATCACAGACAGAGAACACGAAAGGCGTCAATGGCCAAGCCATGGCCAGCAGGACATGTGTGCGAGTGTGTGTGTGTGTCCATCTGAAGGACACCTGATCACACACGTCCACGATCACCATCAACGCTGTCGACACGATCAACACCACTATCACCGCGGCCAGCAGCATCAGCGGCGGCGGTGGCAGCGGCGGTGGCGGCGGCGCGTCGGCGACTGGCACATGTGCACACGTGCGGTTTCGTGGGAACCAGGCGTGTTGGCTGAACGCGACCTCGAGCGCGGACGGGACGCGGTGATGGTGGATGCAGGACGTGCGGTGGAAGGAGTTTGTGGAGTGGCCGCGGCGTGCGCTTTGGCTCGTCCTTCTTCTGAACTAGCTCAGCACGTGGGCTTTGCTTCAGCAAGTCCTGTTTCACCATGCCCGCACACATTTGCATGGTGTCACAGCCAAGGTGAGCGTGGCAACAGCTAGACCAGTGTGTGTACGTTGGTGCGTGTATGTGTATGTGTGTGTGTGTGTGTGTGTGTGTGTGTGTGTGTGTGTGTGTGTAGCGCGGAGGGATAACCTCACGGTTTGCGGCTGCGAGTGAGTTTCATCTCTGCCACCGCTACCTCTCACTGTCCCATGTGGCTCTGCATTCGCAGCCAGGACATGTGTCACGCACCGCAAGCGGTATCGGCGCTACCATCAGTGTTGGCGTTGGCACCTGAGGCGGTGGTGGTGCGTCGTGCGTTGGCACCAACAGCGCCATGAGGTGGCGTGGTGCCCACAGCAGCGTCGTCACGACCGCCGCCACCAATTGCATGAGCAGCACGGCTGGCAACACCGCCACCTTCAGCGGATTCGCGCACTGAATTCACACGCAGAGAGGTGAGAAGACGGGGCGTGCATATGTATGTGTGCGTGTGTGTATGTGTGTGTATGTGTGTGCACGTGGGCTGTGTGCGTGTGTGTGCACGTGCGTGTGCCACATGCGATGCGTTGTAAACATGATTGTTTCACTTATACCCGCCCCACGTGCGTTCCACTCCCCCCCCCCCGCTTTCATGTGCCACGTGCAAGAACTCACGATTCGGGTGCGGTCCATCGTGCTCTTGTCCAGGCCACGTGCACTGCTGCAGTGTTGCGTGACCATGAGGGAAAGTGGGAATGGTTGAGTGGCAACGGTTTGGAAATGCACACCTGCAGCTCGCTTGACCTTCTCTCGCACGACAACATCGGCAGTCGTCACATTACCTTGGGATACTGCTGCGGGCCATGTTTGCGGCAGCGCTGCTTGTCACATCAGCTGCCGTCATCAATGTCACCTTGCTTCTCTGCATCAGGTGAGTGGGTATGAGCACATGCGAGTGAATGGAAGTGACAGAAAAGCATTGTGTGCGGGCGTGTGTTCTTGCTGGTGGCGACATGCGTTCCTTCACTTCACATCTCCCTCACGATGGTACACTCTTTTGTGTGTGTGCGTGCGTGTGTGTGCGTGCGTGCGTGTGTGTGTATGTGCGTTTTTCAACCACATTCACTGTGTGCAGGAAGGGAGTATGCCATGGATTCCGTATGAGGCAGCTTGCACATGGCATGCCATGCTGTACCTTGGCTGGTGGGACGCGAGACATGACCCAGGTATGCGTTCAGACGAGAGCGAGAGAGAGAGAGAGAGAGAGAGAGAGAGAGAGAGAGAGAGAGAGTGTGTGTGTGTGTGTGTGTGTGTGTGTGTGTGTGTGTGTGTGTTCTGGCGTTGCTTTGTGTCGTTGCGCTGTTGATGATGTGAGCGTTGGTTTTGACAACAGTAATTTAACTTCGAATCCACCCAACAATTATTTTCACTTCATGGCGTGGCTGTCTGGTAACATCTTGCTGTCCCTTGGCACGAGCAGAGCTCGTGTCTTGCGCAACTGTCGTCATCCCCACTGCTGAGCTCACCAAGTTTCTGCACACGCGCACACGCACACACAAACACAGAGCGAAGATCACCACCTTTGAAGCCATCGCCGACACCTGCCTTGTGAGTATCCATCAAGGGATTGACACACACGTGTGTATGTATGTGTGTATGTACGTGTGTATGCACTCACACACCTTGGCCCCATGCTTGCGAGCTGAATCAATGCCATTGCACGACGTGATGACGTTGTGAAGGCGTGGTCACATCATGCGATGTTGCAATTCTGTTGTTGTCAGTGTTACCACGCACATACACACACAGTGGTGACATTAGCACACACACACACACATGAATGCACACACACTCGCACACACAACTCATTCACACTCTCACACATGCATACCTTCTCCACCTGTCTTCCCCTTCCGGGAACACGGGACAGGTTACCCTTCAGCGCGGCCCCTCGCCGTGT